ATAACCCACGATCTTTTGTCAATTTTCGTTCTTCACAGCTCAATGACAATTAATTTTAATGGGCCACAACCCATTATTTAAGTTCACTTGCGTTTTTTCGATCTGTATACTTAAATTTTCAATATGAAGATCGTGAAAATTCAATATGCATTCTTAAAATTTTGTAGTTTCCTTGGTTTAGATCACGAATTCTGTACTTCATTCATTACGACTGAATGAAAAATGAGTATATATACTTCAATTTCCACGATTTATACGGCTATAGCCCACGATTTTTGTTTGTTTTTTCAATTTTCACAATTTTCAAGGGTATACCCCCCAAATTTTGTTCCTTTCCGCTCCTTTTGACTCAAGGGATTATAAACACATCGAAATTCATGATTTTCATGGGCTAACCCATGATTTTTGTCAGTTTTAATTTGTTTGTACAATTTTCATCTGTTATATTCCATAGAGTTTGTCCCTTTTTAGTTGTTTCGACTCAATGACAATAAATTATAAGTACTTTGAAATACGTGATTTTCATGGGCTAAACCACAAATTTTGTCAATTTTAGTTTGCACCCAATGATAATGAACTACGCGTACTTTAAAACTGACGATTTTCATAGGCTATATCCCATGATATTTGTCCATTTTATTCATTTCAACACAATAGCAATCAATTGTGTATTTCAATTCATTATTTTCAATAGGATGTAACTTACAAATTGGGTCAATCTTATTCATTTAGACTCAAATAACAATTAAACATGCGCACTTCAAAATTCACAAAATGGGCTATAAGCATATAATCACTATCTTTGTCAATTTTCACTTTTTTCAACCCAATGGAAATTAATTATGCATGCCTAAAATATCACAATTCTTAGGTTATAACCCACGATTTTTGTCAATATTTTGTTCGTTGGACCAGATGACAATTAATTATATGTAGTTTAAAATCCACAATTTTCTTGGACGGTAACCCCCAATATTTTTTTCTGTTTTCTTCTGTTTCGAGTTTCAACAAAAGACAGTAATTAGGTATATATAATTTGACAATTTTATAGGCTAATCTACAACTTTCCTCTATTCTTCTTCGTTCGACCCAATGCCAATAAATTATGCGTACATCAAAGTCGAGAACTTTAAAGGGCTAGAGCCCAAGGATTTTATCCATCTTCATTTGTTTCAACCAGATAATAATCAATTATAAGTACTTCGACTTTCACGATTCATGGACTACATAAGCTATGATTTGCGTCAATTTTCATTCATTTTGAACTAATAGCAATGATTTATGCGTACTTCAAAATTCACGAATTTCATGGGCTATAACCCACGATTTTTTTTCATTTACATTCTTTTCAACCCAATAGCAATCAATTATACATACTTCAGAATTCGTTATTTGCATGGTTTATAACTCACATTTTTTGTCAATTTCTGTTCTTTTTGAATCAATGACAATTGCATACTTTAAAATTCACGATTTTAATAGGCTATAACCCATAATCTTTGTCAATTTTTGTTTGTTTCAACCCCATGGAAAGTAATTATGCATACCTAAAATATCATAATTTTCATGGACTATAACGCATGATTTTTGTCCATTTTTTGTTCGTTATGATGTAATGACAATTAATTATATGTAGTTTAAAATCCATAATATTCTTGGGCTATAACCCATGATTTATGATTTTATTCCTTTATCTTTTGTTTCGACCTATGACAATAATTATCATTCACAATTTCATAGGCCATAAAATTCATGATTTTTCTCCATTTTTGTTCGTTCGACCCTATGTCAATAAATAATGTGTACTTCAAAGTTCGCTGATTTCCAAGGTGCAAGAACTTAAGGATTGTGTCCCTTTTTATTTGTTTTGATCCAATAACAATCAACCATAAGATTTATGGTTTTTGTGGGCATATAACCCACGATTTTTGTAAATTTTGTTGGTTTCAACATAATAGCAATGAATTATGTGTACTTCAAAATTTTAAGATATTCATGGGCTATAACCCATGATTTCGTCTATTTTTGTTATTTTCAACCCAATATCAATTAGTTATATGCATACTTTAAAATTCAATATTTTAAGATATTCATGGGCTATATAACCCATGTTTCAACACAATAGCAATGAATTATGTATACTTCAAAATTTTAAGATATTCATGAGCTATAACCCATGATTTTGTCCATTGTTATTATTTTTAACCTAATAGCAATTAGTTATATGCGTACTTTAAAATTCATGATTTTCATGGTCCATATAACCCAAAATTTTTGTCAAAATTTCTAGTTTCGACCCAATGGAAATTAATTTCGTGTACTTCAAAATTTGCAAAAGTTATGGACTACCTATGATTTTTGTTTGTTACGACCTAATGACAATTAATAATACGTATTTTAAATTTGTGATTTCCTCAGCTATAACTCACTATTGTTTCCATTTTCTATTTTGACCCAATGATAAGTAGGCGTAGGTCAAAATTCACAGTTTTAATGGGCTATAGACCACAATTTTCTCCATTTTTGTTCATTATAATTATGCGTGATTCGAATACACAATTTGTATAGGATATAACCCACAAATTTTGTCACTTTTTGTTTGTCTCAACCCAGTGACAATCAATTGTAAGTACTTCAAAAATCAAGATTTCATGTGTTATAACCTACTATTTTAGCAAATTTCGTTTCAACTCAATGGCAATGAACTGTGTACTTTAAATTTACGATTTTCATGGGCTATAACCCATGATTTTTGTCTATATCCGTTCTTTTCAACCCGATAACAATCAATTATGCATACTTCAAAATTCAAGATTTTCGGGGTTATAACCAATGACTTTTGAACTATCCTTCGTTTCGACCCAATCGAAATTAATCATGTGTACTTCCAACTTTGCCATTTTCATGGCTATAACTCATGATTTTGTTTATTTTGTACTAATTACAATTAACTGTTTATGCTTGATTAGTTGGCGAACTGAAGCCTCATGTACTTTTTCTGGAAATAGCGAAATATAAATTTAACTTCTTTTTCACTATTTTAGTGTTACTGGTTCTTCTAGTAGAAAGCAATCAAATTATATTATTATCCTTAATATAGGGTATTTTACTTTTATATCAACTTTACAATCCCACAAATTTTGATTAACCCCAAACATATTAACCTCTTTTAAGCACATCCCTAATAATTAACTTGAGACCCCTAGCAGCCATTGCCCTCGTAGAACCAAGTAATGTGCAGAACCAATTGTATTCTCCTTCTTGTCTGCTTGATTTGTACGTCTCCTGAACAATACACCGCAAGCCAAAACCAAACAAGAATCTTCCCCTTTCCATCAGACTTCTTAGCAGCACTCAATCCCTCAGGATGTACTTCCCATTGATTCAAAAAATATATATCCCCACTTATTCTTTCCAACTTTCCAAATTGTGATTACATCAGATAAGTTACACTGGACAGGATACACTGAACGTGATTCGTTAGAAAAGTTTTTCAAGGTACATGAATTTGAACAAGAATGGATAGTTCAAAATTCCAACTCCACACAATGTGAACCACATTTTCCTGAAACTAACATGTGAAGTGCAGGGACACGGTGATGGTAAGATGGCACTTATGGATGTTCACTGGGTCCACTTTGTACCCGAACCTGCTCCAATCAAACCCAAAAGTTGGGTTTTAGAAAGATGGAATTTAGGAGGAAAATTGAAGCAAGTTCCACAACTTACAAGTAGGAAGAGTTGTTCCATGTATATATGAAGCTGGTGTCAATTACTGGACACCATTAAGTGTCCAACAAGAAGTATTTGGTGCCTCAAAACACAAATTACAACTCTTATGCAAATCCATAAAAAAGTCTATGCAAATAAGTCCACATGGATACAGTTAGGATAATTCTATATCAATTAAAATTGATCCAAACCTTAACAAAATGCTGTTCCAGTGACAGTTCCCTGGAAGGTTACTGCATCCAACAGTTCTGTAACTAAAGACCAACCAAGCTGACGTGTTCAAGAAATAATAACTTTAACCTAGACACCATGATATAAGGAATATAATTTGTCCAAGTTGGTTATCCAACAAAAGAGGTGCCACATGAGCTTTGCAGGCCCCCAATTCCTGGCAGAAAAAGCTACGTATAATCCAATAATGCAACCCATGCCCATGGAAACAAAGAACAACTGACATGACTGTTTAAAGTAAAATCTGAATAACAACAAACAGGAAAAATCCATCATGTGTTTGGGTTACGAAACCCTAAAAATAAAGACCTTCACAAAATTATTTACTAAAGGTTAATACTTGGTCCCAAGTCCCAACGTAGCAGTTAAGACATGTAAAAGGACATCAAGTTTGCAGGGATTATATGTGATCACAAAAGATAATGACTGTAAGTGACATCGTAGGTCGACCTCTGGAAGATGCAAGTTATGAGCTAGAATGACCCACAAATTTATTGGGGAATTGCTATTCATTGAAGGGAGGAAAGGGGATGCAAACGAAAGGTTTAAGATAGCCAATTGATTTTTAACTTGCCAAGGCAATATGGCACATTGGAATTGTTTACTAAAATTGACAGACCTCAACAGCATGCAAAACAGGTTATAAGATGCTAGACCTCAAAATCTTCAAGCACTCAATTTGTGTGTTCTCTATGATGCTTGTTGCCTAAGATCTTAATTTTCTATTACGAAATACGAGTCAGGAAAAAATACATCCTGAGGAAATAGTAAAAACATATATATCCACTCTCATACGAGCTAGTCTAAATGCTGGGTCAAATGAAAATTGAAATATATTCACTTTTAACAAGCTTATAAACTTTGAAATTGAATCATGGTCCACACCATGGATAATAATAGGGGGGAAATCTCATCTAACAGATCTAACATCTCAGCTTAAGAAACATACTAGTTTAATCAATAACAAAACCATCTAGAACGTTTCAAGACAATAAGTTAATAACTAATTTCAACATTGGAAATTGAAAGATAATTACCATCCATTGCTTGAGTTATGGAATCATAGTCCATAAATGTTCTAGTTGCTCTATTGTGAGATGTCTGCATAAGGATAATAGTGTGCCTGTTAGCCTGCAAATGGCAGCCAATAAGCGAAGTCACTATATTATTAATTATCCTTCCTAGAAATTGAATCCAAAATGCAATTACGACTTAAGCTCCAATTTCATTCGTAGGGGAAAGAAATTGTCATACAGCAGAAGAAATAGGAAACTTTACCCACTACTTATCCCGTAAAATCTACAGACGTTAAAAAATAAATAATACACGAAAATTGAAGGATAAACTGGTTGGGAAATACTCCCAAAAAATGGGTAGAAAAATTATCTCTCTGGTCAAGCAAAAGCTAAAATTGGACAACTCTTGCTTTAAGAATTCAAGTAATTTGAGAAAAGCTACAATGGGATACACGTTGACCCTAGCATGACTGAGATCTAATGGACAGAAAGAGGTAAATTTAGGGTTTAAGAAAACTTATACAGACAAAAGTGAAGTGAGCGAAGCGAGCGATAAACCCTAATCTCACATCAAAACAGTAGAGGGATTTCTAATTTTTTTTTTTAAGAGTTTGAGAAAGAGAGGGGAAGGAAACTCACCATGGGCGAATCGAAAACCCTAATTTGAAGACGAACTCCCGATTTGGGGGAGAAAAAGAGGAATTTTAAGAACTCGAAGGAATAAAAAGGAGTCGCCTTCAATCAATTGATCGACACCAAGAGAAATATCAAGCGGTGATCGACTGATCGTCAGTCGAGTGGGTCCTGCGTATGATTGCCGCGTCCGGTTGTGTTAGCTTTTGTTATGCGTTGTTTTGTTCTGCTCCTCCATTTACGGTTTTTTAGATATTAGTCCCTTACATCTTCAATAAATGCATATAAGTCCCCAGCATCTTAGAAATTACATAGAAGTCCCTTACATCTTCAATAATTACATATTAGTCCCTCAAGTAATAGAAACTGCATGTTAGTCCCTCGTATAGTCAAACGTTATAGGGTCTTGCAAAATGGTTCCTTAGCTAGTATGTCAGTTAAAAAACCTAATCATGATTGGGTTAGCTCTTAACTCATAATCTATAATCACCAAACTACCCCTCTCTCGATGTTTTAACGCTTTGTGAAGCTCAGGTTTGGATTTTTTTTTATTAACCATTGGAGAAGAGCGCAAGTAAAGTGGGATTTATTTTAAGTGCGCATTGGGCTTAAACCTATTAAAAATGAGCTGGGGAGTATTATAAAGGGATAAAATAGTTAATTTGCCTCCAAAAGTTAGATTTGGCAGAATATTCTTCCCGAACCTAATGTGATTTAACCTAAAGGACCATTTTGAAAGACCCTTTAGAATTTGAGGGACCAATATGCAATTTCTAAGCGTTGACGGACTAGTTTTAGCAACTACTAGGTGAGTGATTTGGTTTTTATGTTTGTCATATAAATATCCTCTTAAGAATTGGTTACTGTAAGCTTATTTCAATAACTAATAAAAGACAATGTTTAGCAACTACTAGGAGAGTGAGAAGCACCGATGCAGAACTTGAGAAATTAGGTTTTAGTGCTCTATATAACTGGTTATGAATTCAACCAGAACTACATGTGTAAAGTAATTTATAGGTTCATAATTAGTAACTTGAAGAATTACATGAATAACAACAAGAAATAATGATGAATGAAGAAATTTCTTTTTTACTCTTAAAATTGTTTAAAAGGTTTGAGGAGGTGAGTAGACCCCTTATAGCCCTATTGTTAAAATGGTTACGTTCTAAACAAATATACATATTTATCCTTATGCAGTAGTTGTATTTCACATTATGGATTCTTATGATGAACGAAGAAAGATAAAGAAGCTAGTGGTTGTCCAAGCACATATGAGAAATGTGCAAAGTATAGTGTGTGAAAACGGCGAAGGAATTGAGGAAGGAATTAAGAAAAACGTGAAGAATAAGCAAAATAGGCTCCACCACACCCTGGTGTGGTGTCTGCCATGGGTGTGGCAGAATCTGCCCTGTCTGCCATGGGTGTGGTGTCTGCCACACCCTGGTGTGGCAGAATCTGTCCTGTTTACCATGAGTGTAGTGTCTGTCACACCCTGGTGTGGCAGAATCTGCCCTATTTACCATGGGTGTGTTGTGTGCCATACCAGGGTGTGGCAAACTCGTTTTTAGAATCCTAATATGTTTGGGATTGTGTTTTGCTATAAATAGAGTCACGTTTTTTAGGGTTTCCTTGGCTTTATTTGAGCTTTAATTAAGCATTGTTTGGGGGATATTTGGAGCACAAAAAGAGGTATTTTTGAGCTATTTGTTTAGGGTTTTGGAGCACAAAAAGAGGTATTTTTGAGCTATTTGTTTAGGGTTTTATTTGGAGAGATTGAGAGCTTTGTGGTGAGATTAGTTTGTTCCTTCGAGTGATTTGTAATCTCAGTTTGTACTCTTCTTCTCTATTAGTGAAAACATCATTCCCTTCTTGTCCCGTGGACGTAGGCAACTTGTCGAACAACGTTAAACTATTGTGTTTGGATTTGTGCCGTTGTTTTGATTTGTTTGGCCTTTATCTCGACTTTTGTTTGATTTGGTTCTCGAAGCATGCCCGTTTGTTTGTCCCGCTTCCGCCGCGCACAACAATTGGTATCAGAGCTCCGGATTCCAGATCTAGGGTTTTGTCTTGGTTAGAGGAGTAGATCGATTTGGGAAGCTCGTCTAGGGTTTCAGTTGGTGAGAAAGGTGGGATCTTTTTGGTAAAGTTTCTTTCTTTTCTCAATTTTGGATCTATTCTTCGTTTATTTTCCGCATTGGTTTATTGGCGCTTGGGCTATTTGGAGGAGTGGATCGCTTTGGAGGCTCTTCGAGGCTTTGTTTGGAGATAAAGGTTGGATTGTTCCTATTTGTGGATTGTGAGATCGTTTGGAGCCTCTTGTTAGGGTTTCAATTGGACGTAAAAATCTCTCCTTTATCAATTTGGATCTATTCTTCGTTTGTTGGTGCTTTGAGATAGTTGGCTGAGATAAAAGGATTTGAGGCTGGGATATTTGATTGTTGATACGGTGCATTGGATGAGTGAGAAGTGCCCTTAACCTGCATATTAAAGTCCTTTGAGCACGTTGGTATGAGCAAGGAGACCTAGGTGGAGTTTGGCACTTCTACTCGATGATTGAGGGGTCTTCTATTTGGTGTTCATTCAGGCATTTGGGGGGCTTCCAAGGAGGCATCATTGAAAGATAATTGATATTTTGGTTTTCTTTGTTGGGGATTGTACTAGGTATTTGTGGGTTGCAAGCAAGTCCCGTTGGTTTTAAAGTCCTAGTAGTCAACAATAGTTGAAGAAGTGTATTAGCAGTAAGGTGAAGGTACTTCATTCTGGTTTTAGAGGGAGGTACAAGAGGGACATACTGTATTTGTGCCGAGCTCATGGCAGTTTGAGACACTTCATTGGAGAGGAAACGTTGGGGCGACGAGATGAGATGATATTTTTGATTGGTTGTTTCTTTCTGGAGGAGGATCGACGTTTGATGTCGAGCATTGGTTTTGGAGTTCGGGCTTCGACATATTTGGGTCATCTTATGCATAGGTAAAATTGCAAAGAAGAGAATAAAGAAAATTTGATTTTGATTCCTTTGATCTCGGTTACAACTTGATTACAAAAGAGAGGAAAACGAAATTGGTTCTTCCTCTTTGTTTAAAACTGGGTTCTTCACGGTGGCGATGGAGTGCCTCCCCCGAATGCTTGCGTCGAGTTTGCTCTCCGTTGACGATCCGCACGTTTTGATTCACTGGAACGATGTCTTCTCCTCATGATTTGACGTTGTGGAGAACTTGCGTGGCAAGTTTGAGAACTCTGAACGAGTTTAGAAGAACTCTGTAAAAGAGTTGATTTGAACCGAAGATCGGTTAATAGGCCAAGGATAAAAGCTGTTGCTGAAGTTGAAGATGATCTTCGTTGGGAAGATGATGCCGATCTCCTCAAAAACCTCTCTCCAGTGGTCGATCCAAGCCCAGATAATCCAACCGACTAGCCCCTGAACTGAATTGATCTTCAGTTATTTATAGAGGATTAAGGGGGTGAAACCGCCCCTTAAATCTCTCCTAAGTGGGGTGTAACCGCCCTCAAATCGTGTGAAACGGTTTTAGAACCGTTCAACTCATGTTGAATGAGTCAAACGCCAACGTTGGCGTTCAGGACCCTAACCTCGCGTCTTTGAATTGAGACGCGAGGTTGGGTGTTGGCTGAACACCAATGAACGCGAGGGTCACTCGCGTTTTGGCTTGTTGTAACGCGGGTTCGACCCTGGCGTTTTGATGTTGTAACGCGGGTTTCGACCCTGGCGTTTTGATGTTGTGACGCGGGGTTCGACCTTGGCGTTTTGATGTTGAAACGCGGGGTTCGACCCTGCGTTTGATATTATAACGCGGTTTCGACCCTGGCGTTTGATAATTGTAACGGCGGGCTTTCAGACCCTGGCTTTTGAGTGTATTGTAACGCGGGTTTCGACCGCTAGGCGTTTTGATGTTTGACGCGGGTGTCGTGCCCTGTGTCGTTGTTATTGTTGGTACACACGGGGGAGGATCAGCCACGTCTTCGGTGGTTGATATACGGGGGAGTCACCGCGTCTGGTGTTGCATATACGGGGAGACCTCCGCGGTTCTTGGCCGTGAAGAGGATTATCAACAAGTAATCTCTTTTGTTCATACGTCTGCAAAGATCATTGCTGTAATCTTCATCACAACTTGGGCTCCTTGAGAATATGAGAGTCGTCAGATTGTAACTCCCGATGTTGATTGTGAATGCTGTTGAACAAGAGGGCTCTCATCGTCTGTCGTGAAGGTCGTCAGATTGTAACCTTCAGCGATCTACGTGAAAGCTTCAAATTGCAGTCTTCTGGAAGTCGTCAGATTGTAACTTCCATCATCAGTGTTTGATAGGGGATAAGCTATCTATTGTGATTTTTAGACAGCCTACATATGCATAGCTCGCCGACTGCTGCATTAGGAGTTATTAGATCTGGTGGAGCTGTTTCAGATTTTAGTTGACGTCGGATATTTGGTTACCTAGCATTTGGTCACATCGAGGATGTGAGATTTGATCCAATTGCACGTTTAGGATTCGGAGGCTCGTTTGATTATCGTTTGGGAGCTTCTGATTTCGTTCTAAGCAGGTATGTCACATTGGACTCTCGACAGGTAGAGAGTGTTGATCAGATCAGTTGGATATCTCAGCGGTGGAGGGTGATGCTACTCCACACTGGGTGGAGTTTGCTCCACATACTCCAGGTCATTCTGTATTATTTGGGACTTTAGCTGAGGTGACACAGCGTGAAGATCATTTGGTTTTGGATACAGATGACGTGTTGATTAATTTGAGTGCAGCTGATAGGCGCAGTTTGGACATGGCCATTGGTTCACCTCAGGTGGAGGTGTTTGGATCGTTTCAGTTTGAGGTCATTGGAGGTGCTATCAGTCACAGATTTGGTGATGATGGAGGAGGGTTGCGTGCTCTTCTATTTGTTTGAGGGCCTTTGGAGGCCGTTTGTGTGAACTACATGAAGGCTTGATTCCTTGGGCAAGAGGATACGTAAGCAGTCAGTTTTGATACAGCCGATTTGGTGAGTAGATACCGACGTTTGGGTGAGTGTTCGCACTCCCGTTTGGGTCTCGACTTGTTGAGGATTGAGACGCAGTAAGTGAGGCATTTAGTTTGGTTGGTGTCGGCTCAGTTTTGGAAAAACTTCGCCGAGGTGGAGAATTGTGAAAACGGCGAAGGAATTAAGGAAGGAATTGAGAAAAA